AGGAATGCTTTATGTTGGGTGATATTGGCGAGTATGACTTGCATCTTGGCGAGTCCAGTGAGGATGCTACCCTGTTTATTTTGATTACACAACCCACCTTGATTAGCAAAGTCATAGAAACACAATAGGGTGACCATGAAGTGGATACAATCCGTGAGAGAAACTCCAATAGGAAGAAAGAGAAGGGTTTGAACATCCATTCGGATCTCAATCCGAGGTATTTAGACCGTTTGTTTGTACTAGAACCTTGTAGAGAATAGGTACTTCAGAAGTTTCATCATTCACGCCTTGCGATACATCCGAGAGGCACAAAAATGTACCTTGATCTTAGTCGTCAGTTTTGGTGGAGGGGCATGAAACGGGATGTCGCTTCATTTGTATCGCAATGCCTTACTTGTCAATAAGTGAAGGCCGAACACGAAAGACCAGCAGGTTTGTTACAACCCTTACCTATAGCTGAGCAGAAGTGGGAAAATGTCACCATGGACACCGTGGTTGGACTTCCGAGGACACAACGTGGTAATGATGCCATTTGGGTGTTTGTTGATAGGTTGACTAAGTCCACACAGGTCATCCCCATGTGCACAGGCGACTCAATTGATTATGTGGCTGATTTTTACATTAGAGTCATAGTTCGACTTTATGGGATCCCGGTGAGTATCGTTTCAGATAGAGACCCTTGTTTCACCGCCCGGTTATGACAAAGCCTTCAAGAGGCGTTGGGGACCAAACTGACCTTTAGTACAACCTATCATCCTTAAGCCGATGGGCAATCCAAGCGTACTATACAAATTTTGGAAGATATGCTTCGGGCTTGTGTCTTAGATTTCAAGGGGCATGGGAGAGACGCCTACCGTTGATTGTGTTTGCCTCTAACAATAGTTATTGAGCGAGTATCAAGAAGGCACCGTTTGAGCCCTTGTATAGCCAACCTTGTAGATCACTGATTTGTTAGGCTAAAGTAAGTGATGCACGATGTTAGGTCTAGAGTTAGTCCGAGAGACAACCGAGAAAGTTACTCTTATTTGAAAGAGGTTGATTATGGCTCAAAGCCGACAAAAGAGTTATGCCGACAAGAGGAGACAACCTCTATCTTTTGAGATCGGTGATCACGTTTTTCTTAAGATTCACCGAGGTAGGGCTTGATGAGGTTTGGGAAATGTGGTAAACTATCTCCAAGGTTCATTGGGCCTTTTGAGATCTTAGTGGATCGGAGAGATAGTATACCATTTGGCTTTACCGCCGTAACTTTCCAAGATTCACGATGTATTTCATGTTTCCATGGTTAGAAAGTATGAACTTGACCCTTCGCATGTGCTTGATTGGATTGATTTAGAGGTAGATGAGGATACCTCTTATGAAGAACGACCAGTCCAAATACCTAAGAACAAGTGTTGAGGGGCAAGACCATTCCCTTGGTGAAGGTGTTATGGAGACATCATGGTGTTAAGGAGGCAACTTTGGAACGGGAACCGGAAGTCTACTCCAAACACCCAAATTTGTTTAACAGTATTTAGTTAATTTGAGGTCATTGTGTACTTAAATGTTGTTATGGAAATTGGGCATTTCATTGCTGATGATAAGTTCTTGAATTCCTTATGATTGTGAAAAGCAAAGATTTTGTATAAAATTTCCTTATGATCGGGGACGAAATTCCCTAAGGAGGGGAGGTTGTGATGTCCCGAATCCTGTAAAGCAAATTGACTGCATTAATTGGAAATTTCTGTCTCTTTGTGTTGTCTTCATCATTGTTGAACCTCTTGAGCCTTGTGTTGTTATCCATTCTTCTTTGTGATTGTTCTGGTAGGTAAATCTTAGTGTGTCTCGAGTTGTCATCTTGTACTTTTTGGTGTTAGAGAGAGAAACTGTAAAGGTTGGGTAATGTTTTGAAATTACTTTGTCTCATCTTTAGGTTGAGACCGCTCGAGCGGTGAAATCAACCTTCCAATATCTTGTTTTGTAGTCTGAACTTCTGGGAGCAAGTATTCTTCACTCGAGTGAAGCCTCATCATTCGAGCGGTCTTTTACAGAAGGAAGTGGAGATTCTGAGATTGGTTATTTTTTGCTCGAGCGTAGGTTTGATCGCTTAAGCGATCTCCCAAATTTGAATTGTTCGCTCGAGCATAGGTTTGATAGCTCGAGCGGTCTGTCTGCATTCTGCTCCCAAAATTGTGTCAAATCACTTCAAAAGTTGAACCTTACACACTTTTCTATCACTTTTCACTTCAAAATCTCTCTCTACATTAACTCTCACTCTCTTTTCTCTTATCTCTCTCTAAAAACCCTCCACCCACTTCACTTACTCCTTGATCTCTCATTATCCATTGAGATTTTGACCGTAGTGTCTTCGTTAATTTTGAAGAGCTCATCCAGGACTATGTTGTGTACGACGGAGATCAAATTTTAACGTCGTTGATTTTCGAAGCTTTTCATCTTTTCTTCTCAAGGTCTTGAGGTAGGCGTTTTCTTTGAGTTATAGATATATGGTTTTAGATATCTTGCGCATTTCACTACAAGTTCTAATTTTGGGTTTGCATTTGAATTTTAAGATGTTGAACCTAGAAAATGTTAGAGAAATTATTTCTTTCTCATGATTTGGTCCAAGATAAATTACCTTGTGAATTATGAACCATTTAGGGATGCATGCTTGCAGTCATTTTTGAAAATGAAGGAAAAACCCTTTTTTGATCAAACCCTAGGTTTTCAGGGCAATTTGGAATAAAGTGAAATTGGTGTAATATTCATGAAATTGATGTTAAATCCCTTGAGAAATTGAAGAAACCTTCTTATGTTGTTGTGTTGTTGAGGCACTCATGAAAGGAATAAGAATTTCGGTTGAACAATTATGGTGATATGTGGTGTATATGTTTGAATTTTGAAATTTTAAAAATTGATGTTGATTGTGAATATGAGGAAATGCCATATGTCACATGGAATCGTACATTACCATGATTTTGAGAACTATTGAACCATGGAAGCTTTACTTGAACAAATGTGAGAATTATGAAGATATTGTACAAATGAGATATTTTTATGTAATTATTTCTCATTCCATTCATTTGTATTATCTTGAATATTGTTCACTTATGGTCTTGACTCGGAAATTAATTCATTGTTTTGAGAAACAACTATTGTTATTGATTACGTTTTGGGATAAATACGTTTTGTAAGTCCGGTTAAGTAGTGTGACTGGTATTGATTAAGTTGGCCTGAGTATCCAGGGTGAAAGACCGAAAGCACACGCATAAGAGGTAGTACGTGCTGTCCAGTTAGGAGCTAATAAAATGGGAGATTGGTAGTGCTTGTTTTGCCTACTTACAGACACTAATCTAGGAATTACCTGAGTCGTACTTACCACCCCATTGTATAAATTTGACTTTCATGGAAAAAATGAACTTTGAATGAAATATTGCATGGACTTTGAAAGAAATGGAGAATTTTAACATTTGAAAATGACATGGCATTGTATGCATATACATATGAGATTGTTTAAAACATATACACTTTGTTAAGATATCTTTACAGGGATTTGTGCTCACCCCTAGTGGATTTGTCCAGGAAAGGATACAGTGATTTCGCCTAGTTGAAGGTGTGGATTGTATTGACGGCAAAAGGCTCTCCCCTTTTGTATGATTTTGTTTTGCAAGCCAAGGGCTTAATATGTTTGGTTTTGACACCTCTTTGTGTTAAGTCTTGGAACTTGTAGCCTCAGGGCATCTACTTTATTGTTCATTTCTTCCACTTTTATATAGTTACACATGCTATGGATTCATCTGTTAGGAGGGTGAATATGTATTGCATGTGAACACTTTTGTATACCTCTTCTATGAAATGAAATACTATTTGAGGGAGTTGGTTGATTGAGGAAGGATCGTGTGTTAGGTATATTTATCTTATCTTATTTATTGTTTATAAATTTGGGGTTGTTGCACAGATTATGGCAAGAGGAAAACAACACTATGAAGAGTAAAACTATGAAAGGAGAATATTAAAAAAATTGTCATAGTCATCTATTTTAGCTTTTCACTTGGTATAACTTGATGCTCACTCAATCTCTCACCCCATTATGAACTTTATTTTACTATTTTCGACAATGACAATGTGTAAAGTTGCTGAAAAATCAATTTGTGAGTAGTGAATGGATGTACGTAATTAAGCGTTCAACTTTTAAACTTTTTTCATTTATTTGTTTTGATTTTCTATTTTATTTTATTTTATTTTAGGGGTTGTATGAATTGCAGTACGAGAGTAATGAATGGAATTATGTAATTGAGTGCTCAACTTTTGAAGTTTTTAGTTTTAATTTTCCATTCAATTTTTTTTAAAGGTTGTATGACTTCTAATATGAGAGCAATGAATAGAGGTATATAATTAAGCATTTAACTAACTTTTTTTATTTATATTTTTGATTTTTATTCAATTTTAGTTTTTTTTTTTATATACTTGTAAGAGTCTTGTGAGCTCCAAAACTTCAAACTAATTTTCTTAATTTTTTATATTTTTAAATAACTAGAAAAACTTTCTATTGGTTAACCAATAATAATAATAATAATAAACCCTAATTATCCTTAAATAAAGACTATGAGTTCCAAACTGTTAATCTAAGTTTCTTAATTTTTTTAAAATTTGTTAACATTAAGAAGTACACATGTCACATAAATATTAGTCCATCCAAGGAAGGACGCAGGATTCTAATGTCGAGGGGGCGAGTGTATATGCAATCAAGGCAATGTATATACAATTAAAAAATTTGTAATGAGCATGTGGTATACAATATCAATTTCTACCCAAATATCACAAAAATACATAATTAGATGTTTCCATTCATCGTATATAATTACAAAATATTATCAAAATACAATTGGATATGTTCTAGTAAATCCATATTAATTTTCAAAAAAGCAACTATTTGCTCTACACATCCACTTAGGCATCTAAAGCTGTGCTCTGCATTCTTTCATAATATAAAAAGTATCTATGATGAAATTTACATCAAAATCTCAAGCAATGTCTTTCTCAACAAATGTTAACAAGTAGCTTGAAAGAAAATCATCTTTCATCCTGTTGCGCAATCTAGTCTTTACAATTTTCATGGCCGAAAATGCACGTTTTGTTGTCGCCGTAGAAATTGGTAAAGTTAGAACTAGATGAATTAATCTATCGACAAGAGGATAAATTGTTGACTGACTTGTTTTTACCAACAGTGGGCACAAGTTAGAAATTGTCAACAACTGCTGAAACTCAAGATGTTTAAGAATGTCAATCTCGTAGTTTTGCAATTGGAATTTCAAATGTATTTTTTCTTGCTCTATAAAGTCATTAGGATAAAATTGATTTGCAAGCTTGCATATATCTTCAATTTTGAACAAACTATAATCATCTCTAGGATCTAAAGCAGAGCTAAGAATAAGCAACTCCATCACATCTACTTTGAATCTGTTGTTCAATTCTTGCAATTGAGAATCACATATATATAATTGTAAAAATACCAACTCAAAAATGATGCTCAATAATAATGTGATCTCTTTGGTGACAAGCACGACCTCTACCAGATGTGTAATGAGCACTCATATCATGAATATCTATGTCATATTTTCCACAAAATAGTTGAACATTCTCCAACAAAGAAATCCATCCATCTTCTCTATATTTTTGAACAAGTGCTTTTGTAGTTGACACTAGATGCATTGCATTCAATATATCTTGGGATTTACGTTGCAAAGCTTGGCAAAGATCATCAGTAGTCCCTATAATATCTCTCATAAGATGTACGATAAAGACAAACTCAAAAGATGTAATCTTATCATAAACTCCATCTGCATCTGTACGTTGAGTGGAGGTGGCTCCATCATTGATGACATTACTTAAGACTGGGCAAGTTGCACTAAACATATTTATCAAACTGGAAATAGATCCCAAGTAAGAACCCCATCGAGTATCTCCAGCCCATTTCAACGTCCCAACTTGATTTTTGCCTTTACCAGTTTCAACTTCATCACTGGTAAGTTTTGTTACAATTTCTTCAGCTTGAGCAACTTTTAACTGATCATGCCTTTTATAAGAAGAGCTACATAGATTAACTGTGAGAGCCAGATAAGAAAAAAAATTGGGCAATGGGTATAACCTCTCTTGCTGTCACTCTCAATGCTAATTGGAGTCGATGAGCAAAGCAATGAACATAATACGCAAAATGATAGTCATGAAGAAATAAGGCCTACAACCTAGTTCACTCTCCACGCATATTAACACCATCATACCCTTGATCATGAATATTTTGTACACTGAGATTATGACGAGATAGGACAATACATATTTCTTCTTTCAAAGTTGCTAATGTCGTATCCGATACATGAACTATGTCAAAAAAACACTCCTTTATAAAACCATCTTTATTAACAAATCTTAGAACAATGGCCATTTGCTTCCTCTTTGATTCATCTCGAGCTGCATCCATTATCATGCAAAATTTTGCTTCATCAATCTCCTTATGAGTGAATCTTTGTATTTTGTCAAAGAAAATCTTAAGAATCTCTTTTTGAATTACGAGTAGTATGAAGCATTTTGAGGAGCTTTGTGTAACACAACATCTGCCACATCCGCATTATAAAATGCCAAGAGCTTTATCAATTCAATAACATTCCCTCGATTATTAGAATCATGACTTTCATCACTACCTCTAAATGCACAAGCTTGAAATGTAAGCCATTTGACAGCATCTATCGTAGTCTTCAACCGCAAACGGTTTTTTGCAACTTGTTGAGAAGTTTGTTTCTCAACTATCTTCTCAATGTGTTGCGATTGATTTGTTAAATCATGGTAGGATTTAACAACAATTCTGTGCGATAAATTAAGACCCTTTCCCATATGAGTTAAGAAAAGACAATTCTTCCCACTATTAACTTTCTTCCATGAAGAAAATCCATCAGAAATGAAAGCGCTAGATGTAGTGCGTCCATTTGGTTTTGTAAAAAGATAGCAAGGAAGACTGTTAGAAATTGTGCGCTCTTGTGACATGACCCTTTGAACCTTTTGAACCTTATCCATGTAAGTTTGAATTTGAATTCAAAACTTACTTGGATAACCACTCAGGATATCCATATCTATCATATCAACTGATATGGATAAATGAGATATTATCCTATATATCTAATATGATATGGGATATGGGTGATTAAGAGAAAAACAACGTATGTCGTATGTTTTTCCCATATACTGACTCTATCCCAAAATACAGCGATCAAGAGCCATTTTGCACTGTGACTTGTGTGGGTGATATTCATTCTGTAATATCACTCCATTGCTGGGTTGATTGATCAGATTCAGGAAGCACGTGATTTACCCACGAGATCCTTCAATTCAGACTCTGTAGAAAAAGGTATGACCATAATTTTTCATCCGCTGTGTTACAATACTATGATTTACATTGGTATCAGAGCCTGATTAAGTATTTTCGTGCTTATTTTTATGCATTAAAATATGTGTATTTTTTTGTATAAATATATATACATGATATATGCATGAAAATTAATGAAGGAGTAAAATGAAGTGCAGGGTTTCTGCACTTCCACTCTCATTAGATTAAGAGCATAAAATACTTCATTTTTATGTTCATTAAATGTCATTTTTAATGCCATAAATGTATTTATTTTGGAAAATGGAGTCTGGCAGAAATTGGACCAGAAAACACCCTGGAAGGCGGCGCGTGGGCCGCACGCGCCATCTAATGCCGTCAGCGACTTCCACGCACTGCCACGCGCGCGCTGTCTGCGTTTTCATGAGTGCGCCGGGCGCTGAGCCGCTTGCTGAGCCGCGCTGTTTTTCCTCCGCGGCTTGGCTGCTAGTACTAAGGCGCTGTTTGTTTTGTTTTAAATTCTGAATCGCGTTGAATGATCATAATTAATTCGTTATAGTTTTGTTTTAAGCATGGTTGGTACCGTTAGACTCCTCGCGCGAAGCCGCGCCGTTTTTCTCTGCTGGCTTGGCTGCTGAAGTTAAGGCTCTGTTTGTTTTGTTTTTAATTCTGAATCACATTAAATGGTCATAATTAATTCGTTATAGCTTTTTTTTAAGCGTGGTTAGGACCATTAGACTCAGAATTAAATTTTCTATATTCTGTAAAATTTTCAAAATTTTATGAAAATAAAAAATATTTTTCCTAAAATAATAATTCATTATTTCTACTTTAAAATGTATCTGGTGTTGCATGATTAAGTTTCTGGGGCTGAATTTTTTATTGTAGACTATTGTTTTAGTTTACTATTTACTGGTATGCTTATTTCATTTTACCAGATTCTGAAATATTTATTTCTAATTTTATGTGCATTTATTAGTTATTTAAAATTCCAGAAAATTTCAGAAATTTTCAGAAGTGATATACTTTCTGTTATGGAATAATTTGAATATTGAATACAACATATTGTTATTTTTTACCTAGAGTTTCTAATATGTTGTAATTAGAATAGCATGATTAATTGTTATTTGTTTAAATTCCGTTATTAATTGTGAGATAGCATGAGTTGTGTGATAACCCTGTTCCGTATTATGCTAATGGGTCCTTATTATGAATTTGATTATGTGTCTGATATGATTTTGTGTGCCGATTATGTGAATATATGTGATTTTGAATTTCTATCTGTTCACCGTAGGAATATCTGTTTGATTATCTGCTTTGGAAATTAAATTGAGGGCTTTATCGGCCACAGAACTCGAAATTGATTACGCCATTATGATTGGCATAATTTTTAGAGTCTACGATGAAGCTTAATTGAAAAATTGATTCAAACCAGATTAAGTGGATTAAATTAATGTTATAGTGTCCAATTATTTTATATTAAAAGAATGTATTTGAGGGAGCTTTTAAAAGGGGCCATTATACACACTCAATTCCTCTTTTTGCCCATTTTGGCTGATTTAACTCTCTAGAGAGAGAAAGACCCGAAATTAGAGAGAAAAACGGGAGATCATCTAAGTTTTGCTCTTGAATCTTGGAAGTCTTGAAGATTGCTCAAGAATTTGCTATAGATTGTGAGAATTGAAGCTCCTAGGTGAGTGAATTTGTGAATATTAGTTGTAATCTTGTGAATTCAAGTTTGATTAATGGTCTAGAATTTGGATTAGTTTGATTATAAGGAAGTTGAGTTGACTTTGTTGTATTTGAAGCCATTAGATGCATGCATGTAGGAAATTACTATGAATTTCCATATTTGAACACAATGTGCATAATCTATGTTGAATCTTGTATGGAATCCATCTATTTGATCATCTCTTCACCAATTAAGTTGATATGAATGAATATTTCTCACATGCAAGAATAGATCATGGAGGTATGAGCCTTGCATGTTTGAATTTGATGTGTTGGTGAAGAGTTTGGGTTAATTTGAGGCATGCATGTAAGTAATTCAAGAAATGGAGCTTCATTGTGTTATGATTTGGTGTTGGTATCATGTGGGTATATGCATGTGTGAAATTGGAGCCATAATATGCAAGTAATATGGTTGAAATGTCGAAATTGAACTCAAGAAACCATTCTGGAAAACCCAGAATTTATGATGTCCGCTCGAGTGGGGGAACCGATGCTCGAGCAGGGAATTCATGCTCCCAGTATTTTTTTGCAAGCATGGGTCCGCTCGAGCAAGGAAGTCCACGCTCGAGCGGGGAGCTATGTAGACAGACCTTCCGCTCAAGTGCTCGAGTTCACGCTCGAGCGTGAATTTGATGCAACTAGCACTTTTGCAAGCCAATTGGGTCCGCTCGAGCGGGGAAGCCCACGCTCAAGCGGGGACCTTGTTTTCTGAAATTTTAAAAATGCATTTTGTGTTCTGTTTTCCGTTCCCTTTCACTTCTGAGCACTCTTAGGCATACATTGAGCATTGTGATTGAATTAAAGAGATAAGAATGAAGCCTAAAGAGGAATATGTGAATTAAAGAACGGATTGAATTATTTGTGACCCATACGTGTTATGTGATATTTAGGGTCAAGCTCCAGGGCAAATCTACAAGCCGATCACTGTGAGTAATATCTTAACAGAGATATTTAAAATATTTTGTTGTCCAATTGCATACTTCTATGTAAGTTTTATAAGTTCATTGATTCGATTGGTGGACAATGTTTGCTATACCAAATGAATGAATGAATGGGCCGAAGGCCGTTTTGACATGGATGAATGGGCCAGAGGCTGTTTTGACATGAATGAATAGGCCAGAGGCCAGTTTGACATGAGTAAATGGACCAGAGGCCAGTTTGACATAAATGAATGGGCCAGAGGCCAGTTTGACACGAACGATAGTTTGACACGAATAACAGTTTGACACGAATGATAGTTTGACATGAGTAACAGCTTGACCTGAAAGTATGAATGGGCCAAAGGCCAGTTTGATATGAATGATACAAATGGATTGGGCCCGAGGCTGTATGATGTGTTTGAAACCACAGTTACTTAACTTACATATATCTATGTATGTATGTATTAGTTAGAAATATAAATTGGGCCCAAGGCCATTTGATGTATATTGTTCCAATGTATATTCCTTATTTGATATTATTCACTGGGCTATCGCTCACGCTCATTCATGTGTTTGTAAGTGAGCCAAGAGAAGTCCAAACCCAGCCCCAGTGAAGTCTGTATGGAACAACTAAGGTTTTGAAGAGGCTGCCCTTGCGTCTCACGCACGAGACACGTCTTCGCCCTTCTGCCATTCTATGTTATTTTGTCATGTTGGCGAGGACTTTGGTGTACGTCTGTATATAGCTTTGTTTTGGCTGACTTAGATTTGAATGGTCATGTATGTATAGAACTTTATGTTACTATACTTTCTGTTGTGAGTTATTAACATATGTATGTATGGAATGTTATGATATGCATATAAGCACGGTTCTATGGACAAAGTTTTAAAATTGCTTCCGTTTGGCCCTCGTTAACTCTGTTAAAATACGTCTGGTTTGGTTTGAGGCCGTAGGTAATCTCATGATTACTAGTCGGTTATGTCCTTAACCCACGGGAGCGGGTTCGGGTCATGACAAGTTGGTTGTGAATCTACATTATGATACTATTGTATGGAATTAAAAATTTTTATCATGCTTTTAGACATGCCATAGTCAGTGGAAGGTTATTCGGTTGAGAGAAATCTTAGTAGATTTACTCCCAAAAACCAATATTTTATGCATAAATTAAATTAAATTTTGGATAATTGTCACATGTGGCGCAATAGATGATTACGAGCATAGCGGATTTTCGATCTTGCGACTTGTGTAATATTGTCACTATTTAATTTAGATTTTTGTGGCAAAATTATATTATGCTAATCAAATTAATCCCAATTGCGAATTTCTCTCTAAATTGACTTAGCTTATGGAAGTTAATTGGTTGACCTAGACTTAGTAAAGATGTTCAAATGTGAACAATGTAATCCTATTCTTTAGATGAGCAAAAGTCTTGGAGACTTTAGGTCAGACCT